TTATTGAACAAAATCTGATCCCAAACCACACAAGGAGATATTAGGATCAAAAACTTGACTGAAGCTTTGGGTTACCTAGCATCTTAAAAAGCAAATCATAGGCAAAGAGTCAGTGTTAGGAAAAGGGGAGAGAACACACACACACAGGAAGAAATGATTTAAGAATGATTGAAAACTCAAAGATATGGACATTAATTTGTGATTTTTGACTCAATCCAAAGATTTGCATCCAGGGAAGTGTAGGCTGAGTTTAGAGGGCTGCAGTTGACTGAAGTTGCAGCATTCCTTTTAAAAGGTGACCAAAAGGGAAAAGCGGAGAGAAATAAATAGAATGCTTTTATTTTCTTCCTCAACCACCAAAGGTAAGGTGAATAGATTTAGGAATGCTCAAAAGGTCAGAATTTATGAAGCATTGAGAATCAGCGGTGACATTGAAAATGGGGATGGGGCTAGTAGCTGCAGCAGTGGTGCTGTAAGGCAGGAGTAGATCACAGAGACATGGAGGGCTGAGGCTGGATTTGAAAATAAGAATTAGAGCTTTAAAATCAAGGTGGTGCTGTGTGAGTGTATGATTTGGTAAGAGTTCAAATATGGACAGCAGAGGTTTGAGTAACCTCAAGTTTGCCAAGGTCAATGGAGGTCAGCCAGATGTCAAGTCCAGAGGTAACAAAAGGATGGATGAGGATTTCAGTAGTGGTAGGAAACTTCCTGTGATGTCAATTGCAAATATTTCAAACAGTCTGGTTCAACTTCAGCGAGTTAGCAGAAAGAATGTTGGAATAAATAGTGAAGGAACAAAGTTTGAGAACTGAAGACTACAGTGTCTTTTGACATTTAATTGGAGGAAATTTTAACACAACCTTCAATAGATGTTGGACAAACAATCTACAGCTTAAGAGAGAGAGACTGTGTATGTGTGTGCTGGTAGTGGTGGGGGTGGGGAGTGGGGAGGAATCAAGTGAGGTAGAACCAGAGACTGTGAGTGTATATATGGAAAGTAGTGCTGCATTTTGGATGATGCCACCAATATGTTACAGGTGCAGCATGTGGTTGAGAATCAGGAAGTTGTTCATACAAAGCAGTATGTGGCAATTTTCCTTCAAATTCTGTTGGCTGTGTGCAACTAACTTTTTGCACTGTATGGTCCTTTTAATACTGAAGCAGAGCCACATATGCGTGCATCTTAAAGAGAATGTTGCTCGTGCACTGGTTGTTTCTTGTATAGCAATCAATTCCTGACTGTTGCGCAGACAGGCACCCATGCAACTTGGAATGGACAATGGTAAATGGTACAGAAAATACAAATCTGAAAACTACTTCAACATAACTTTTAGAATAATGAAGCACAGATTGAGATTCTAAAGGGAAAATCTTGGATTGATTTGCTGAGGTACTTCTTAATGAAATGGATGGACAACACAAAGAACTTCTAGACAGTCCAAGGCAAACAGAACTTTTAAGGTTGAATTTTACACTGGGTGTATGTCCTTGACACCCCCACATAAAAGTTAGTGGTGTGCCAGTCTCTGCTTTGCTGACCCTGAAGCCTTTTAACAAATGTTGTATCTTTAATTGATTTGAGGCAGGTTTACTGTCCTCTTCAAGTCTTTTCTAAGAGGAAGCCACACTTCTGAGATCAGCTGACCAAACTGACGGCTGGAAACTCTCTTGTTCATCTGCACCAGCAGGAGTGGTGGCAACCAGTGGGTACTGTAAGAGGAGGCAGTGATATAACGCAGATTCAAAGGTAAATATGGTCTCTTTCTGGGGTGAGGTTGGTAAACCCTGGTCAGGGGGGATGGAGACTGGGAATGTCAGGGAACGAAAGAATATACTTATGGGTTGGGGGTTGATCTCCAATGCACACAATGTCTGAACAGGAGGTTACGCTCTCATTGCACAGCTGCTTGTCTACCAGCTTCCAGAGGAAGAAGGGTTCCAATCCAGATTAGTCGAAGAAAATGAAAATATCCTAAAGTGAGACGGCATTTTTTTGGCAAATGTAATTCACTCTTCTTGTGATCTCTCAATGAGATTACTGGTCTCATCCAAACAAGGGTTGAATTAGGAATGAAATAGAAAAAAATGTCTTACTATTCTCTGATGTGAATTTGAACCCAGTTGACTGACTGATTAGGTGAGATTCTCTTCATTCAGACTATTATGACAACTCACAGCAATCCATTATCTGTCATTATCTAATGTGTATCTCATATGTAGGTTGGGAAGTAAAGAGAACACAAAATGTCCAATGGCATTAATACCAGAAAAATTCACCCTTGTGGACAGCATGTTGTGAAGTACTGACCACATATTCCAAGTTTCTGATATTCCACACTGTATTGTGCATTTGTAAAATTGGTTTTATGCTGTCACTTTGCAAAAGTAACTTGGAACTTTTATGAAGAAAGGAAAATAGTCTCCAAATGTTGGAAACCTTTTCGTGAAGTTAATTTTGTTTATCTTCATTAATTGAATGGTTTCATAATTCCATAGCATAATTTCAAGGATGAGATGGTTAAGAGTAAATCAGGAACAGGTATCTGTGAATTAGAAGATGGCTGCTATGAAACCAAATCACTCTCTGGAAATTGACAAGAGGCAGATTTATGGGGACTTTTTATTTAAACTATGATTTTAATATACATAATACAACTATGAAATTATAAGATCTCACAATCCTATACAGAATACAGAACAACTCGAATGGAAATTAACACTCCCCAGACAGCAGAAATATACCGGGAGCTGTGTTAAAATGGAGCTGTTTAAGTTCCCACTCTATTCCCACTGATTTTTCATTTTAATGTCATTAGTTTTGGCTGCAGATGAAGTCTGTGCTAATCTCTAGTGGGGGTCCTATAATATGTTCAAACTAGGTCTATTCATAATCATGTGTATGGTAGTCTAGTGACACTTTCACCAGGAGAAGGCATTGGTCATCTGAGGAAAGTTTAAAAAAAAACTCTCCTAATGTGGCCAAGGGGAAGCAGGGCCACATCAGGGCAAATCCATGCCTCTGTAGCGCTCCCTCTATTTCCCCTCTTCTCATCAATGAAACCTTGGCAATACTCCGTTTCAGAAAGTTCACTGCTGTCAGCAGCCTTCTCATGGGTGTCAGTGAATAGACTCTGGGCCACCTCAACTTTCCTGGTCACCACAATCATCTATTGTTTTTCCTTACTCACATTTAAACTTTTTTCTCTTTGATAAGCTTTATGGAATCTCTTTAATTTTATCAAAGCTATTACAGTTAGTTCTCCTCAGTAAGTGTGAAATTTGAGACTTAGGGTATGTATATCTAAGTTATTTCTCTTGATCATCTACCACAATTTTCATGGAGGTATGTGTAAAGCCTCAAAAAGTGTCCTAAATGTACACATTTTTCGTCAGGAACACTATGGATCATCCACAAACATTACAACACAAACATTACAATGGCTGGTACAGAGACTTCCTGCAGAAATTAACCATTTTACTGCACAGCCTCCCACTGCAAAATGGTTTTATACACTTTCTGTGAAACCTCAGGGTAAGGGAGGCTAAGATTTTCTGGTGAAGATTAGAGTTGTACTGCTTATTCTTGGCCCACAAGAAAATCAAAAATTAAAATTAAAACTTATCTACTTTCTGAATCACAATCTTTCTTCTAGCAGCCTTAACTTCTCAAGAAATGAGAAGGCCTCTGAGTATAGGTCCCAGTGATGTCATCAGGCCCTGTTTTGCATATTTAACTAAAGTTCCACAGCCCTTCTCTCAGTAATTTGCTTGAGTATTCAAAACAAGAAGCTGAGAGGTTATTACTTTGTTGGAGGTTCTGCCTTTTGAATATGACTAAACCAAGGTCCTGCTCCCTCCGGTGGATATAAAAGATCCCCTCGCATTATTTCCAAGAACACCAGGGGAGTTTTCCCCGGTGTTATTCCTCAGTCACCATCACAAAAACATATTATCTGGTCATGACACATTCCTGTTTGTTGGAGCTAACAATCTGTAACTTGGCTGCTGCATTTCCTACATTACAACAAGTGACTACATTTCAGCACCTCATTGGTTGTAAAGTGCTTTGAGACAAACATTGGCTTTAAAAGATACTAGATAAATACAAACTTTTGGTCTTTAATATCCAGGTGTTTCTCATATACTTTACAGGGAGTTATCAATCTTAAATCATAAATTAATATTGAGTCAGGAAGGTTAAAAGATGATTTGTTGCTTATTTTTGAAAGCCTGCAGCAGTGGTTTCTACTTGGTGTAACACCTCATTTCAAAATGTATAACTCAGTAACAAGAGCCATCCTGTTTAAACAAAATTTGAATTCAGAACTCAGTTAATGTGAAAGATTTTCATATATGAAATTATTTTCCTTTGTAATTATCAGTGATACTGATCTCTGACTCAGAAGGTTATAGTTTCAACCCAGCAGCCATAACTTATAATGTAGGCTAGCACTTGAGAGTATTTTACGTTTAGGAAAATTACACTGTTGCATGATTCGAGATACAAAGGATTAGACATCGGACTGCTTCTGACACTGAGTGCCTTAAGTAGAAAATAGTTCTTTCTGCAGAGTTAATGTGTAAAATTGTATCTTGTAATACTTAATTCTATAATAACATTGATACAGGTTTAACTTAAGTCAGAAAATATCCTATACGGAGGACTATTCATTAATTGTTTGTCTAATGGCTAAACAGCCAATTTGTAATGCATACTTGAGTTACTATGCATCAAAATGTGAAACTGATCTTTGTACTGGGCAATGTATACATACCACTCTGAACTGTGAATGAATAACTCCAACTAATCAGAATTTGTTACAACTTTACTGTTGAAACACTGTTAACATCTGTGATGTACAGAGTTGTTGTGTGGTGTGACTAAAAGATTGCCCAAAGCGTGGTCTTGCGACACCACATAGCTCATCCTCTAATTGTAAAATGCCTTCAGTTGATTATAATTAAAGTCACCATAAATGCTAGTCAATTAAAAGCCTTACCTTTGGTTTTCGATTTTGTTCCTTTTCTGATGCATTGGATGGTTTTCTTCGTAACATTTTTTTTCTGAGGATGAAAATAAGAAAAGGATATAAATTAGAGATGTTCTGCTTAACTGAAGGAATCTGAGTCACAGGAAGCGGAGTCACATGGCAAATTGTTACCGCAACAAAATGGTGTTGGTTACAACGTCAGTCTTCAAAACCTACCAGGAAGGAAATAACAAATTTTACTTAGTGCTCTGCTTGCTTGCACAGCAACAGAATTAAGGTGTTAAAAATGACAAATAAATTTGCTAATATTAAAGCTTTACTTTTACATTCCAAGGTTTCAACTATCAATTTTGCAATTTTTTACAAAATACATTTTTAATATATTTAATTGGTTGTGATGTATAATGCAATGTATGTTATATAGTTGCATACTTTATGTAAGTAGTGGACAAGTCAAAGATCCACATTAAAACAATTGCACATTATTCATGATTGTCAAAGCAAAATTGGGAAATATTTACATTTTTTCATAATAGAATTTCTCAACTATTTTACACAAATGGCTTTGACCCAGTCATGGCTTATTGCATGAAACTTTGTAGTGGCATGATAAAAATGATGTATCTGGTATTGCATTCTACAGTAATTATTTTACTAAAACAATGTAATTTCACCTGCAGTAGCATTCCATATTCTTAGAAAACTTAATACCAAAGTGCTGTTTTCTTAGTTACTGCCTGTTGTAAAGGATTGATGGCAATAAAGTGTAAATGGTCAGATTGTGGATTGAAGCTTTACTTATCTCTTTTGTTCAGTAGTTCAGCACAAAAATTGCACACATACATTATAGACACCATAATGGTCACTTTTACAAATAAATTTGTCTATAACTGTGGTCTCGCAAATTATTCTTTCCCCCTCACAACTTTGTCTTACCAGTACTCTTCCCCATTCTCTGCCAAAGGCACAGATTCATGTTGTAACATAGTTGAGCAGTTCATAAGAAACCAAACCCATTTGCTGTGTCAACAGATAGGAAATCAATTTGTTTTGATTTAGTTTGCAAGCTGATTGAAAATTAAATTCATATCAACCTAAATGCTGGTGTTCCAACCAATGGTAACAGATCTTTGACTCCAACAGAATAACAGAAAATTGCATAAATTAAATGACACCAATTGGGAATTAAACAATTTTATCTTTTCTCAGATCATTGCTGCTGAACTGAAAGATTAAAGTAACTTTGAGGCATGGAGAATTATATTGAAGGGTATCTGGCAATACAATTTACCAAGGACAAGAGTCATGAAGAATTCTTCTACCAGAAGAGTAAACAGGTCACAGAAAACACATTGCAGGTGTCTCCTATTGAGAGATCAAAAGAAAATTCTCAGTGATGCAAGAAAGAATATGAGACCTGAAGCAAATGGATTAATAGGAAATGAAAAATGAATAAAATAGCATTTAAATTGCATATTGTTCAAACTTTGAGCACTAAATTAGAGTTTCTGCTTTTGGAATTAAGAAATGTGAATACATTAAGCACTCTTACCATAGTGAGATTTAAATCTACATCCCTAGACCATTAGTCTGGGCCTTGGGTTACTAATATAGTGACATTACTATTTTACCAATGCTTCTCTCAGTAGTGGAATCAGCAACAGTAAAACTGATGAACATCAAAGGCAGTAGTTACATTCTGTTTTGTTGGAGTTGGTCATTGTCTGGCATAAATGTTACTTGTCACTGACAAGCCCAAGCTGAATCTTGTCCATGTCTCTGCATGCAAGAATGTATTGCTTTAGAATCTGAGGGGTTGTGTTGTGAACGGTTGTAAACCATTTGCAATTGTTAGCAAGATCACAAATTCTGATATTGTGATGGAGGGAAGGTAAGGCAGATGAAAATGTTTAAAGCATAGGCACTGCTCTGAGGAATTCCTGCCATGATACCCTGGGACTGGACTGATTAGTCTTCAATAACCATAACCAGCTACATGCTATATGTGACTCTGACAGGCAGAGAACTTTCCTGTTGCATTCTATTTACTTTAATTTTGTTAAGAGTTATGGTTCCTCGATGACAAACTCAGTTAAATACTGCTTTGCTGTCAAGGGTAGTAAGTCTTACCCCACTTCTTGATTTCTGCTTTTTTTTTGTCTATGTATGAACCAAGGCTGTAATGAGGAATGGAGATGAATGGAACATTGATGAGCATGCTTTTGTTGTGCAAGTGATGGGCCAGAACACTATTGATGTGTTCTTCTATCAATTTACTACTGATTGAGAGTTAACTGATGGGAAATTGGCTGATAAGATTTGATATGCTATTTATGGGCTACATAAAACTAGTAAAAATAATCTGTAACAACATCCAATAAGCTAACAGAATATAGCTGTTTCATGGGTCAGGTTAATGCTCTCAGTGAATGAAAGCAAAAAATGTATTCTCAAAAGACCAATAAAACAGTGCCCTGTTTCCAAAGTAATTCCTTGACAAATCAGAAATCTGTCCTGTCTTGAATCATTAAGTGCAAAATATATACTTAGCTAGTTTATGGATGTTAATTTGCAGTGATCACAAAATCTAGTCCAATATCATAATATCAGCTACACTAAACACTTTCCAATCTATCCTTTTGGTTTGTGAAACTTTGCTTATGTTCAATTAGTTAGTTTGTGACATTAGATAATCGTTCTGAAGTTTTAATTTGTCAGTTATCCAATTTTATCCAATACTATATAAAAATTGAATTGCTCTTGTTTTTAGGAGTTAGGGTCTTGATTCATAATTAGCTTGGAACTTGCACTGTGGAATGAGGCACAATCATCTGTCTCTCTGCTAAAATTCACCTTTCAAAAATGATATTAGTATGTGTAAATTATCCACCTTTCATCACAAAAGTCATTGTCTTTGAGTATTACTGCCAACAAGAGAGTTTAAGAGGTTGGATACAATAACCGCAGATGCAGATATCTGAGTCTTACATGAAATATTTGCATGGTATCCCTGATATAATGAAAATGAGCTACAGTTCACTAATGAGTTGATATGTAGTCAGTTCTAGATTTGAATATTTCACAAGCTTGTCATGAATCGGGAAGCCTCGTGTGGTGTTGGGATAGCTAAGTCACTCTTGAAGGAGAATACAGACTTCTACATGCTATTGCAAAGTTATACACCCAGCGCACAATATTCAGAGCTGAAATGAGCAGGAAACTGAAGACTTAGCTCCCTGTCCCACCAAAGATGTTGACTCTATATTTAAACTTACAGGAAGATCAAGAGATATACAATAAAGAGCTGTCCTACTGGATGCAACAGACCACATTCTACATGACAGTTTTAATATTTAGGACAGGGCAACAAGTGTGGATCAAATAAAAACCAAAAGAACTGCAGATGCTGTAAATCAGGAGCAAAAACAAAGTTGCTGGAAAAGCTCAGCAGGTCTGGCAGCATCTGTGGAGGAGAAAACAGAGTTAACGTTTCGGGTCCGGTAACCCTTCCTCAAAACTGATGGTGGCTGGGAAAACATCAGTTTATATGCAGAAAATAGGGAGGTGGGTGGGGTAGGGAGTAAACAATAGGATAGAGCCCAAAGAGAGAGAAAGGCAGTTGGACAGACAAAGGAGTTGCTAACGATCAGGCTGGGAGGGTGAATAGTTGTTAATGGGAACTGTTAGTGACTAACAACAGGGTGTGTAATGGCAGGCTATGTGGTAACAAGGCCTGGTGTGTGGGGTGGGGGGCTGAGACATGGGAGAATTTAGGCCCTAAAATTATTGAATTCAATATCGAGTCCGGAGGGCTGTAGGGTCCCCAAGCGGAAAATGAGGTGTTGATCCTCCAGCTTGCGTTGGGCTTCACTGGAACACTGTAGTGTGGATCAAAGCTTTGCACAGAAAAGGCATAATCATTCAAGATGCCACATATTAGCAGAGATTGTATTTTGTTTGCACTGCTAGGGGGATCATATGAAGGAATGGCAGGGACCTTATTCAAATTGGGGTTAATCACCTATCACTGTTTAATTGGGATGAATACGATATGAAAAGTTGGGGTCTTGTGGCACAGTGGTAGTGTCTGTACCTCTAAGGCAGGAGGCCTGGGCTTAAGTCCCACCTGTTCCAGATATGTATCATAACACATTTGAACTGGTTGGTTAGAAAATATGTGCTCTACATAGCGGGTCTTGATAGTGCAAGGGTCCTATAAACTTCACTGACTTAAAAGAAAATCAAAGTCAATGACATTCACCCTGCCAAAAATACTAGTCTTCTAAGCTGAACAGAATGTATTCTGGAAGAATAGTGAAACCTCTAGATCACCTGAATTTTTCACATGGGATGTGGGTAGCTCTGGCTGGGCCACCATTTATTGTCCTTTCCTAATTGCCCTCAAGAAGAGAAATCAGACAATTGGGGAGAGATTGAGTAGAAGTAATTATATTCATAAACGTATAATAATAGAGAAAAAAGCTGAGAAGAGACTTTTTATGGGTTAGAAAGGATTAATTCTGAGGGATGTGATAAGTGCTTGGATGATATATGGACTTGTGGGCAGAATGGCTTAGGATTGAAGGATTGAAACCGAGCACATATCCTCCTCAAAATCTCAAATGTTAGACCCTGTGTTCTCCAATATTTTTGGGACATTATTTGTGTCATCCTTTGTAAAGACAGAACTAAGTATGTATTTAATTGTTCTGCCACCTCTTTATTCCTCATTACAACCAAAGACAGGGGATTTACAAGGGATCTACATTTGTCTTCACTGATCTTTTTCTCTTCACATGCATTTTAAACCAGTTTGTTTGTTTCCAGCATACTTAGTCTCGTACTCTGTCCCCCTCCACCCCTTAATTAATACCTTTGTTTTCTTTCTTTGAAATCTAAACTGCTCCCAAATCTTGGGTTGTGTGTTTTTTTTTGGCCAATTTGCATGTCCCTTCCTTTGATCTAATACTCTCTCTAATTTCCCTAATTAGTCATGATCCTGTTTTATTTTTGTGCCAATTGTTTCTTGGCTGATTTTCTTGGAGGTCTCTACAGATATCCTGATACTTCTCCACAGTGTAGTTTTGTGAGCTCCTACTAGGAAATCAGGTTCAGATTGCCCCAAACTTATTTTACCT